ATACTGAGTTTTGTAAATGAATGAGGTAAAAAAAAATTTTATAAAATTGTGTAGACCTTAATATTGCTAATCTATAGACTTGCCTTTAGATATTGAAAATAAATAAAATGTTATTTACCTAAAACTAAGATAAACACATCCCATTTAATAATGGCTAGATTTCAAGTAATAGGGAGATATGTCTCAGAATTTAGTGATAATATTTGAATTACACTTTAGCCATGTCTTAAACATATCTGCAAAGCATAAGGAACAAAAAGAAACATAATTACAGATAAAACAAAAATCAGAAAAGATAGCTAGTGAAATCAAAATGTTTTACCATTAAAATTAGAAATTTAAATGAACTGGGAAAATGCTGGAAAAGTATATGTTCCCAAAACTCAATAAGAAGAAACTAAACCCTCAAGTCCTAAATACAAAAGAAATGTAATCAGTAAAATCCTTCCTACAGAAGTGGTTTACAGGTATATGCTACCAAACGTTCAAGTGAAACATTCCCACCTTGTACCGACTTCTAGAGAACACGGAAAGGGAATACTGTCTGCTTCAGGCCTGTGTAATCCTGACTGCAAGAAAATACGGTGTGTGGGAAAAAGAAAAGTACAGGCCCATCTCCATTAGGAAGGTCGATATGTAAACCCTAATTAAAATATTAACAGAAACCACTCACGCTGGGTATAAAATTTAAAATACCCACGTAACTTATGTTTTGTATATAAAAATATGCTGTGTCTGTGGGGCACGGGGCTGGAGGAGAAATGAGGGAAAGCTGATCTAGGAATGCAGAAGTTGTTGACTGTATTAAAGTTCCCAAAAATGTAATTCATTCACAGTATTAAAAGTGAAAATCTTTATGATCATTTCAGTAGGTACAAATGCACTGAGTAAAATTAAACATTTATGATTTTTTAAAAAATAATTCTTAGTAAAGTAAGAAGAGAAGAGGATCTTCTTAATCTGCAAGAACACAGAAAACCTGCTGCTTGTTCATAAAACTCATATATAAGCAAATCTGGACAGTATATAGAGGCACCTATACATATAGGAAATAAAAATTATGTGTTAAAGAAGCAAGAGAATGATAAACACACAGTGTAGCAGAGTAATTAACATATATATATATATGCATATTTGTGTGTGTGTTGCTTTTTGATGTATATATGTGCACCAAATAAATACATACCCAAATAAACATAAATATATTCCCAAATAAGTACAGTATGTATTTTTAAATAAAGAAACATTTTAAGTGAATGAAGTCAAGGCAAGTAAAGCCATTTCTGCCAGCCTCAAAACCTGAGTATAGCAAACTGACTGTGAAAAAGAAATACGAAGTCCATGTCCCGTGAGATGTGGTTTTGTGGGGCCCCTCGGCCATCCAGGCGTCGGGGTGAGGAGGGGCACTGATGTCTGCATCCCGGGTCACGCGCAGCCTCCGTCACCGCAGCAGGTGGGTCAGGGGTTAACGGGAGGCGCTGTCACCAGAGCGGTTAAGGCGGGGAATCGAGGGACCCAAGCCTAATGGAAAGGAGGTGAATCTGAGCGGAGGATGAAGGACTAAGAAAACAGAGGGACTGAAGACGTGAGAGTGCCAGGAAGTCTAGAGCTTATCTCTGCCTGGGGCCAGGGAAGGGCCTAGTGAAGGTAAGAGCTAGTAGTCAGAGCAGAGGTTCTGAGCCGAGAGATTGTTGGGGCTTAAAGATTTAAGAAGGGAAGCCAATTATGACCAGTTGAGTGGTTTCCTGAAAAGAGGTAGAATCGAGGATTCTAAAGGAGTCTTCGATTTAGGGATTTTAAAATCCCCTTAAAAAGTTCAGGGAATTGTGAGTTACTTGTGGCAAATGTTGTCCACCTGGATAATGAAGACACACAGAATGACACTAAAGAATCGGACAAGAAGATGCTGTCTCTACATAGAACTAAAGCAATACGTTGGTTGGTATATAGCTCGTAAGTATCAGTGATAGGAAGACAGACTTTCAGAGAACTGATAAAATTTTGCTGGCGTTTGTGAGACAAGAGTTCTCTCCATCTCGTCCCCCCCTCTGCCCCCATGCCTCTGTTTTGCCAAGCCACTCTTGTGCTCCTGGGAGTAACACCTATTAGCCAGCCAGACCCTGGACTTCTCCCTTCCTGCTGCCTTCTGTTAATCTAGTTCAGTTTTGCAATCTGCACTAATTTGCACATATTAGATTTCTTCCCAATTTCCTTCAGCCTTCATCACAAGACAAAGCCACTGAGTGGGATATGCCCCACCATCTCACATCTCTTCTCTTTTGAAACCTCTCTAGGAAATATAGACCAAAAGGCAATACTCAGAATCATAGTCGTCCTTAAACTTCTATTTTTCCAGCTCCCTCAGTGATTAAGTTCAACACTATATGAAATTTTTATAGAGGAGTTTGAGCCTTTTTTTTCCTACGTATTGTGGTTTCTAACAGAATCCCCTAACTTTTGTGTTTTTTGAGTAAGTGTTGTTGTTGACATTTGTGTTGAAAACTAGACAGTATTCCCATGGGAATGTGTCTGTGTCCTTCATCAATGGCTGGAGAGATTACTGCTGCATGTTTACAGATGATATTTCCACCCATCCTGCTGCTGTGTAAGATTTTAGTGGTGCCTCTGTCATACTGCCAGGAAGTTCCTGCTGATCCGAGAGTGACACGGTTGTTATTTAAACCAAGTCTCATCATGGAACAACTAAACCTATGTCAGACCAGTCATGGATTTTGGAAACATTTCTTCTCAGAACTATCTTGAATTCAGTGCTTCTCAGAATTTACATCACTGCCTTGAAATAAAGAAACCATTCACCTGCCAGTGTTGCTGGAAGATACTACACAGATATTGCAAATAATTTGGTGAAAAGATATTAAAACTTTGTACTATGTAATGCAACTTTAATACATTAGAAAGAATAAATTCACTACAGTCAGACTCTCTTCAGAGACGTATATATCTTTTAAAACTTACATTTAAACAATTTAGAAAGAAGATATATATTTTTTCATTTACTTATATTTATTAGTAAGGAAGACAGGTTTGCTGTGGGTAGAGAGAACGTAGGGAAGTATGCAGGAAGAGCTGCTATTTAGTAAGTACAAAAGCAAAAATGAGGTTAAATCTATCCATTCTGATTGAAATTTCTGAAAACTTAAGCAAAGAAAAACATGATTCATTTCATTAAAGGGCCTTGGAAATATTGAAAGTAGCTTGTTAAAAATCTTGAAAGAGAAAAACTGAACAATGAATGAATATGAGTGTTAGAACTGAATTTGTAAAGAACGTAGGTAAAAGATCTGAAATTATCAATTTATCCTTTAAAAACAACACAGAAAGACTTAAAGGTAACTTCAAGTATCTTTTGATGTTCTTGAACTACAGTAATTGCTTACTGCAAAATAAAATATTTTAAAAAGGTGTAAAAGGGCCTAATCATCATTTTTAATGGACAAAATGAAGAGAATTAATGTTAGAATGCCCACAAACAAGGACGGCCATAGTAAACACGGTTAAAAGTCTTTACTTTAAAAAATATTGTTGGTTAATGAAGATGCAGTACAAAATACAAAATTATGAGAATAATTTTTAAAATTATGATCCGGGGCAAATAACTTGTCTGAGCCTTGGTTTCTTATGTTTCAAAATGAAAGTGATCTGTATCTCTGAAGATCCTTGTGAGAATTAAGTAGTATGTGTAAACTGCCTGTTTTATTTCTTAGCTCTCAGCACACGGTTTGGTGGTGGTTTCGGTCACTAGCGTCTTTGTGATCACCTCCGTCACTATGGGGCTTATACCAACAGCCGCCTTGCCCCTGTCGTGATTCTCATGGGCTGTGCCCAGCTAAGCAGGTAGTTCTCTGGCCCCAGGTGGAGCTGTCTGGGGCTGCAGTTACCCACGAGGCTGGCTTTGGGCCTGAAGCTCATCTAGGCCTGGGATCCTGAGTGTCTCCTCTCTGTGAGGCTCTCCGCATGCTGTGAGCTGCTCTCAGCATTGCGGCTGATTCTAGAAGAGAGATTTCCAAGAACCAAGAGCAAAAGCTTCAAGGCATCTGATGCCTTAGCCTGCAGAGTCCCTTCTGCTGGACGCTGTTGTTCCCGGGAGGTCACCAGGCACATCTAAGGAGAGCAGAAAAAGACTGTTTCCGTGATGAAGCGATGGCAATATGCTGCTGCATGTGGGATGCGAGATACCGTTGCAGCCACCTTTGGAAATGCCCTCCGCCCCATGCTAAAACGGAAGCGTGGAGAAGCCTCAACATAGAAATGAGAGAAGCTAGGTACAGAAAGGACCATCACGTACGGTGTGTGTAAGAAAGTGAGAAAGAAGACTGTATTTGTATTTCCTTATGTATTTTTAAGTCTTTGAAAACATACAGAAGCTAATAGCAGTGAGTGCCTGTTGAGGTTGGAAATCAGGTGGAAATGTGGTGTGAGCTTCTCACTGTATATTCCAACAATGTGAATATTCAGACAACATTTTTTATTCAAAAATATTTGCTTCATTGTTACATTTTTTAAACTTTATTGAACTGTAGTTCCATTGTAGAATTTAGAATCTTTGCATTTAAATAAACTTTAAGTACCACTAGTCCTATCATCTGTATTTTTTAAAGTACGAATCCAGTTTATAGATTTCCTATTATGTGGTCATCTGGTTTTTGTGTTGAGGTTTTACTTCAAGTCAGTGAATTCTGTTTTTTCAACTATTTTAAAACACTTCATCAAAAATCCTTAATCTTTTCCCTCTCACTTCGTTGGGTTCATCCATTCACAAGACACTCTGGATTGAACACAGGCATTGCTGTTAACAGTTTATGGCATATTTCTATATTTCAAATGTCACTGCATTATGATTTTAATGATTAATTTTATAATGTAGCTTTAATATTTATGCATAATGAATAGTTCTAATACTGAAATTTGATCATTTACAAAAGTTGGATTAACCAAAGCTAATAAGAATTAATAAATTCCGGAGCTATTTTTCTTTTTAGGTTACTATGCCACGCCATGAAGGACCATATAGTTCGTGTTGCCAATGAAGCCGAGTTTATTTTGAACAGACAGAGAGCTGAGGATGTACATAAACATGCAGAGTTTGAGGTATGGTTTGGGGAATGGATTAAATTTCTGCTTTTCTCTTGTAAGTCTGCTCTTACCAATGGTAGCCTGACATCAGAACGTTTTCTGTAAGACGAAACTTTCCCTGAAGGCATTTAAGTTCTCATTTTTAAAAGCTTTAGTAAATGTTGAACACAGAGCACTAGACTATCTTCACTTCATTTACAGCAGGAAGATAGATCCCTCCTTCCCGGGGCCTAACCACTTGGAAGACTGAAGTCATTCTAACAAACTCTTACAAGCAAATAAAATGTTATCATGCGATACTGGAGTAATTTTTCAGCTAGCAGAGTTTATAAACTATTAGTTATGGACATAATAAGGAGTGACATTGAAGAAACTCAGTTTCACCAAAAATTCACTCTTTTATTATTTATTAATGTATCCATTTTTAGAATGGCCAAAGGTCATTTTAGGTCATATTTTATTTTTATAATTGATATTCTCATTGACAACTGAAGCACTGCTACTATATGATATATATATAGATAGATCTACATGTGTATATATAAATATATATATGGAAATACAATATTTTTAGATGTTCATAAGTATGCTGAGTAAAGACTAAATTAGCTATCATTTCTATTTTATATGCAAAAGTAAAGTATTTTGAAGTACTATATAGTCCATAATAATTTTTAATTAAAAATATTATTTTTACATTCCTAGTATATCATAATTATTTGCCAGTATTTGTATTGCCTCAGGCCCGCCAAATATCTTGATTTCAGTGTTTCATATATAACAATTACTTCAATTCAGACAATTTACAAAACGCAATTGGTTTCAGAAATCTTTGGGTAACCTGGTGTGCATTTAGCCTGAACTGCCAGTGGCCTTGAAAATAATAAATAACTCCATCAATTTATTCTCCTGTTGCAACGTGCAAACAAGTGCAGTGTAAATGGATATTCGAGCTGAAGATTTCAGTTTTGATGAGGTTTTTATCTCAGTAAACCAGCTCTCTTAGTCACGCAAGTTGATATCCTAGGTCTAGTAATCTCAGACCTGGCTAGCAGAAACAGGAGCCAGAGAAATAGCTGCTGTCGCTCTAATACTCATAACCTCTGCTTCATTTGTCAAATGAGACAGCACCCACTTGTCAAATGGATTTGCAACGACCTTATTTTGAAAAAAAAATAACAAATATTGTAAACTTTGATAAAAGAATGTTGACAATTCAGTGTTTGTTGAGTGGCTTTGTATTTTTTCAACAATAAACACCATTGGGTGTTTGTCAGTGTATCATCCTGTATTCTGGATGACAAGCAAAGATTGAGTTATCTGTTCTTTGAAGAGTATGTTTAGGTATAAGATATGCCAGAACTCTAAGCAAAATAAGAATATTCAATTAACTTTTGACTTCAGTTAGTAAATAAGATTTAGAATATTAACTGAATTCCCTGTGGGATCAGTTGCAAGTCATTTATATATTTACTAGGAGAATCAAGATATTCTGTGAGGACATAAGATCAGTATTTGTCATGTGAAATATTTAAAATCGATTTTCAAGCAGCTAGGTATCAGCTACAAGCTTTAACATACGTTTATCCAAGGTGATATTAAACTCAGTGCAGTGTTTCTCAACCTTTTTTCATTACCACTCCCCTAAGGAATCTTTTTAGACAGTTTTCATCCTCATTGCCTTCTACAATAAAATTTTATTAGCACCAATATGCTGCAAATCAGTCTGTATGCTGTATATGCATCTGTGCTTTGTACATAAAAAGAGTAAGATTTTTTTCACACAAACCAACCAGCAGTTTTCAGCCCTTTGGGGGTGAGATCACTTCTATTGAGGATGCATGGTTAAGGGTGATAAGAGGCTGTGCAGGGGGCTGAAGACTGGTTTTTAGATTATGTATGCATAACATAAAGTACTTATGTCAGCCTAATGTTGAGAGTATTATCATTGTCACTTAATGAATATACATTATTTTCTTAACCCAAATGTTTGAGTTTGTTCTTTTTAGACTAGAGCTATGTTAGTTAATGCATTGATGTGTGCGTGTATGTGTGTGTAGTTTACCAAACACCACTTTTAAATTGTTAAAATTGCATTACAGTCATAATGTTTTATTAGGACTTTTTATGGAATTTCTCTGGCTTCCAAATAAACCTGTAATTAAGAGAAAAAGTGTATTTAATTTGAGATGGGTTCTTCACAGTTAAGTTTTTTTAGTTAATCACTGTAATTGTTAAGGAAGAAAAATGAAAATTTAATTTTACTCTCCAATGAGCTAATGAAATATTAACCTCATTATGGAGGTAGACCATTGTACTAATTGGTGATTCCCTGTACAAAAAGATAAATTGGAAAATGAATTAATCCTTCTTAGATTACTGTAGGGTTATTTCTCTGAAAGAGGCAATTTGGGGGAGCAGTCTGTATCAATAGAGAAACAGAAGGGACAGTTCAGGTACCTTCCGTGAAACAGATTTTAACAGAATATTGATGAATTGTACTAGTTATATGTATGTTTTTAGATATATGAGATTTTTTTTTCTCCCTAGTTGTATGACTTATATACATATTTGGTAAGGTTAAAATTTATGGTTAGTCCATCCTATACACAAATCACTATGTAAAAAATCAAACTTATAATTAAAGAGATGTTCATCTTCATTTTCATACTGAACCTTTTTGTTGCACATAGCTGATCAATCCATGTTGCTAATACCAGTGAGCATGGATACAGATAGCTGACAGGACAGCCGATTTTTATAGCAGATAATAGAATAGTGGTTATCATGAGAACCTTTTTGTACATTAAATTTTAGAGTTGAAAGAGATTGTAGAGAAAGCCTTCTCTTAGCTTCCAAATTTTATAAATATAAAACTGAGTAGAGTGGGAAAAAAAGAATTTTCATAAACTGAAATAAAGCTCGGGTCTAAATTCCTAAACCATTGCTTTTTCTTCTATATCACATTGCCAATTATAAAATGGAAAATAATAAATTAAATGACAAATTTTTTAATCTCTATATAATTACTAGGAACATAGTTCTTATTGTGAGATATATACTGTATCAGTTAAAATAAGATTTATATTTGTAATAAATCATTTTCATTTCTAAAATTACCATCTTTAGAATACAGTAAAATCAGAATTTCAGAATGTGAAGGAACCTGAAAAGTCAATTACTTTATACGACATTATCCAAATTATTATATTTAATGTATCAACACGTAGAAAGAGCACATCTTTACCAGTTTGCAAGGTAATTATATGTATGCTTTAGAGTAAATTTTCAAAAGAGACCTGAGATTCTAAAATTGGATTACTACCCTCTAACTGAAGCTTCGATGTCATTCAGTACTTACACAGAGTAGAAATTACACATGAATCATTATGCACTGTTGGAATTTCTGTGCAGTCGCAGTGTGCCCAGTATGCTGCCGATAGAAGAGAGGAAGAGAAGATGTGTGACCATCTCATTAGTGCTGCTAAACACCGAGATCACGTTACAGCGAATCAGCTGAAACAGAAGATCCTTAATATTCTCACAAATAAACACGGAGCCTGGGGAGCAGTTTCTCATAGGTGAGTTCCAGCAAATTACAAGTAAATACTAACTCATAGGTTCATTGCAGTAGTTAGAAGTTAAAAATGACTCTTAGTTTGAAATTATTTAGAAAATATGGTTTAAAACTATAAAAAAAAGATGAATTTTTTCTGGTATATCTTTAGTAATGCCTCTATATAATATTTTAGAAGAAACCCTTTTAAAAGTAGCTCAAAAGGAAGTTATGTCTAATATATAATAATATGTAACATAATACAAAATTTATCGAGGCAAGTATTTTAGACCACTCTCATATGATGTGTGTTGGTGGTAAGAAATAGCTCATTTTTTAATCTTTCAGAGTCAAATCTTCTTACTTATTAAATTTAAATCATTCTTAATGCTTTCTTATACACTAGTAATAACAATATAAGCATTTACCATGCACAAATAGTATGTTCTCCTTAAAATGTTTCCGCTATGTGCTTTGCGTCATACTAAGAACTGTACATGGATTACTCATTTAACCTTCAGAATGTCTCCATTAAGGTTGATATTGAAGTGTTATGTTACAGTGTGACAACTGAAGCCTTCAGGGGTTAAGTAAAATTACACAGTATCATGTAGCTCGTTCAAATAGAGGCAGTTTTTAAGCCAGGGTTTTCCAGAGAAATACAAAGAGAACCAGTAGGATATATGTAAGGCATCAGATACAGATTTATTTTAAAGAATTGGTTCGTGTGGTTATAGGGACTGGCATGTCTTAAAATGTGTACGATAGACTGCAGGCTGGAAACTGAGGCAGGATTTCTGCTATAGTCTTGACACAGAATTCCTTCTTCTCCAGAATAACCTCCAGTCTTCCCTCTAAGGCCCTCAACTGATTGGATGAGACCCCCTCACATTACAGAGGGTAAAATCGTTTACTGAAAGTCAGTTGATTGTAGATGTTAATCACATCTACAAAATACCTTCCCAGCAATAACATCTAGGTTAGTATTTGGCCAAACGACTGAGCACCATAGCCCTAGACAAGCTGACACGTACAGTTTGATTATCACAAAGAGTAGCAATAACGTGAGCATGGTGCCCAGCCATAGACCTCGTCTCTCTTGTTTTGTCGCCTGAATTGGATTTATCTACTTAGCTATATGCAGTCAGGTCTATAACATACTATAGCTAATAATTCAGTGATATTCAGAGCATCGCCTTAAATGTGTAAAGCCATCCATGGTTTTGGTTTTAATTATTTCATCATGTCATTAGAATTCAGCTAATAGACAGTGGTCTCCATAGCAGCAGTCATGTGCCAATGTGCCCAGTGCATCCGCGGCTCAGCTTACCTTTCGCAGCGTCGTAGAAGTCTAATGCAGGTCACGCAGCTTAAGAGCAGTGATGTGAAAGGACCAGGTGATGTAGTCAATAGTCACTGTATGGATCAGGCCCAAAATGTCTGTTATTTGGATGTGAAGGTGATCAAGTTGAAACCTTTATGACCCAACTGATTACCAGCATCTTTCTGCTGCTTTTTATCCTAAAACAGAGATTTTAAAAATTATTTTTATGGAAGTATAGTTGATGTAAATAATATCAGTTTGAAGTATACAACATGGTGGTGATTCGGCACTTATACACATTATTAAATCCTCACCCCAACTAGTGTAGTTACTATCTGTCAGCATAGAAAGATATTACAGAACTATTGACTATATTCTCCGTGCTGTACTTTTATCCCTGTGACTAACTTACATTATGTTGAAATTTGTGCCTCTTCATCCCCTTCATCTGTTTTGACCATCTATCCTAACCCCTCCCCCAGGTAAGATTTTTTTTTTAAGTTAGGATGATAATTTTAATAAGTCCCTCAAAAGTAAGACATTCTGTAAAATGCTTAGTATATAAACTTAAAAATGGCACAAAACACAAATGATGATAATGAAGGTCAGTAAGCAGATATAAACAATAAATCTCATAAATTTTAGACTACTTTCTCAGCCATAGAAGTCATGAATTTTAAAATGAAGCTTAGTGGTTTGTATCTCCACATTAATGAAACTTCTCCTTGGCTTACAAATGGCACAATGTTTGAAATTTTGACCATTTGTAACAAGTGCCTGGAGTTGTGAAGTTATCATAGTCCCTCAGTTCTTAATTGGGCTCTTAATTAAAATATGCATTTCCCAAACTGTAGAAAATATTTTTCAAGCAGTAGCATCTGGTATCTTGGCAGACAGCATTTTATTGGAATCATTGAAGATGGTACATTATTAGGCTGTTGAGAAAAATCTTTGGTCTTCTTTGATGTGATTTTATAAGCTTGCTTTTTAGATCAGACATTTTTACTTAAATATGACTACATCTCCTAAATACTACGTTGAACTCATTGACTTTTTGAAAGTCATTAAGAGATGTTACAACATTTAGGAAAGTTGAATTCCAACAGTATTTTTCTCTGTGAATATCCTCCTTTTCTAACTTCATATTAGGCATTTTTGTTTTTATAAAGAAAATGAGTGAATTGGTTTACAGCTATACTGTTCTATATTATATGCACATTCAAATTTTATATTAGGCTGTGAAGTATTTTTTTGTATTTGTGCTCACAAGTAGTTTAGTGTCTTTTGTCAATTCTAAGGGTTGCCTGTCTAGCTGAAGTGTGCCATTGCCCTGGAGTGCTGTATTTTGAAGTCATCTGTCATGGATACATTGTAGAGAGAGAAGACTATTTATGTTTATGGCATTTTAAGTAACTGAGTTAAACCCTTTGGAATATAGAGAAATGGCTTCTTTACTGTCATCACTGTTCACTTAATCTTGTGACCCTGACATGATAGCATTCCCGTAAATCTCCCTGTGGGTATTCAATAGATGAACATCAAAATGTAATGACTGTTTCAGCTTTAGGAATTCACTATGTGATGGAATAAACACAGCCCAGATAGTAATATTACAGAGGCATTTTAACACTACCTTTTTTCTAACATATAATACTAGAAAATAGTTATTTATTGTAATTTGTATTCTATTTTCAGGTGCCATTTGCGGTATATAATAAGCATGTGATTAAAAGAAAAAGAAAATAGATATAGATAATATGCATAGTACATAAGTTTCTCTTAAAGGAGTTTGAATTTTTTGGTATACTTAAGATCATAAAAATAATAAAATCGGTTTTTGCAAGGATATATTACTATATATAGGTTTATTCATTTTGTGTTTTAATTATATTACATTTACGCTGTTATTTTTTATTTTTAAATATTTGTGATTGTGTAATTCCTTAAGCATTCATTTTTAACTTAAGAATTTTTTTTACCCCCTACCTAAGTTTAAGAAACTTTTGAGACATTCAGGAAAAAAATTTGAGGCCAGTGAGCCATTCAAGAAAAAAACACATTAACATACAGCCCTGAGCTAATTAATGGAAGAAGGAAAAGGACTTAACACCCAGTGCTCCCTATACTGCGTCCCAGAGAACCTGCCCACAGACAGGGAGAAAATCCAACTTTGGGAACATTGTTTGAAAAACAAATGCTACCGATACTGTCACTGCTTAGACAATAGATCTATAAGAAAAAATGAACTTAGAGCAAATTACATTGGTCTCCCACCCTCTACATATGTGAAAACCTTTTTGTTCTTCTAGTTTAGTTTGGGTAAAACCTCTAATCCTCTCTTGAGCAGCATTTTGTACTTTGGCTACTATTAATTCAATTTGCATGATAAATAATGATACATTCTAAACACCGAAAGTGTGTTGTATAATATAAAATCTGTATAATTGTAGCATTTATATTTTCATACGATTTTTATAGAAATCTACATAGCAGATCTGTTAAAGACCCTCCTTAGCATCTTTGGTAGCAGCCCAGGCAGAAAACCAAGGAAATGAAGGACACTGAATCCACTCAGAAAAGAAGGTCAATTACTAAAATGACATAAGTCCCCAGGAAAATAAGATGACTCAGGTGTATTTACTAATTAAATTTTAGACCACTACCATTCAATTAAGAAACAATTTTCCATGAAGAGAAGGTTGATATGTATCACTAAATAGATGGTCATCTCCTCTACTTTGGGTTTATACAACTAAGCCTTCACAAGAATACCTTGTTTTTTAATACCCTTTCAAGCTGATATAACTCCTAAGAATTTGATTCATATGATTTATATTTGAATTTGAAATTACAATATTTCCTTATGGAGAGTGTAAAGACAGAAACCGTTTTTCTTGTAAGTAGGGTTTTTTTCTCTTACCATTATTTAGTAAATAGTTACTGGATTGCAGTCAGGCACTATAGATAAAGACACTGTTCAGAGCCAGGGAATGTGGTATTACATAAAGAGGATTTTTATGTGTGTTTTGAGTTTTAACATAAATCTTAAAAATTAAGTGCAGCTGGCTTTTGGATGAAGAAGGACTTTTAAGGGCTGCACAATAAAATATTGCCAAATATAAACTATCACAGAGGCATTTTTAAGGCTTAGAAACTAGATTTACCCAGCCCTGTAAACTGAGTGCTTTTAGGACACATTAGGACACAGTTTTGAGCAGCAAGTTAATAAACATGAAATAGACTAGCAAAATACCTTGTTAACTTCTTTAGGAGCAGCCATTAAGAATATGATAAGGTAAATCATTAAAATTTTCACCTTTAAGCATATTTGATGGTGTCACAGTCAGAGTTATGAGAGTATTGTTTCCAAGTCTTAATAGTTCAAGGGCACTTAAATGATGAGGACCTTGTAATGGTTCCCTGGAGAACCATCATGTCTGTTGCTTAGTTTAGTTTAAGATAAAATTGATAAATCAACTGCTTTTATTTCATCTTGATTTATATATAGGCCCTTTTACTCTATATAAAAAAATAAGACTTTTCTGGTCAACCCCAACTAATTATACTTACCATCCCACAGATTATTTTACATTAAACTTCAACTGTGGTCAACCCAGATTCGATCTGTAAAATGGTACTCATCGTACATTACATATGCTCCTGACCTTGTGACTGCTGTCTGCTTTTCCAGTTTGGGGTTA